TGTTTTGAGACAGAATGGCCCTTGTCCCCCAGGCTGGAGTGCAGTGGCATGATCTTGGCTCACTGCAACCTCCACCTTCTAGGTTCAAGCAAGTTTCCTGCCTCGGCCTCCTGAGTAGCTGAGATTACAAGTGCGTGCCACCACACCTGGCTAATTTTTGTATTTTTAATAGAGGTGGGGTTTCGCCATGTTGGCCAGGCTGGTGTTGAACTCCTGACCTTAGGCGATCTGCCCACCTTGGCCTCCCAAAGTGCTGGGAAAACAGGCATGAGCCACCGCGCCCTGCTGGTTCTATGGGCATTGTGGAAGTGACCACTAACAAGCCCCAAGGGTATGTAAAGGAAAATGAAAGGTGATTGATTTCTCACCACCTCTCCCCTTTTTTCCTCTACACCTTTGCCCCTGCTCCCCAATCTAGACTCTAATAAACAGAAATGATTTCTGTTGCAAGCTGAAAACTCGTTAGAGTGGTTGGGGCTGGGAGGTGGCAAGTCAAACTTCACAGTTGTCTGGTTAATAAATGCTGTCTTCAAGGACTGTCCGACATTGTAGGAACAAGAGAAGAACCCAAGTGAACAATGAACTCCTGTCCGCAAACGCTGCTGCCTCTCTGCCATCTCCTAACCTCAGCCTCACACACTTGAATTTCGCCAATCCATTTGATGAGCTGGTATCAGTGAATTTTCTCCTGGCCAAAGCTCACAAATTCTGTTCCCCGCTTCTTGCCCCATATCCAGGCATTAAAAACCGCGTTGTCCCTTTGCCTGATATTCTGGCATCAAGCCTCCTTGCCATTCCAATTTATTTCACCTTCCTCCAGTCCTTATTATTTCCTTCCTGGAGAGTATTTCAGCATCTCTATGCCTCAGTCTCCCCTGCACACCACACCAGTTCAGCCTTATTATCACATCACTGGGCTGTGTTTCGCCCGGGTTAGACAGCTTCAGTGGTTGAAGTCTATAGATCTTATTCTGTTTTTCGAGGTCCACTTGACCCTGAATTCAGCTGACATTTCTGCCCTTAGCTTCTACCCCATTCTACTTCTGGTTAACTATGGACCACACTGCTTCTTCGGGAACCATCTACCAAGGCCGTATCCATCCTTCAAGGGCAACACGTGGGCCATTCCTGATCATGTCAGCTCAGCAACTTTTCCCTCCTAAATTTCAATTGCTTTTCTTGTCATAATCACTAGTATTCGCCCCACTGTGCGTCTAGAAAGAAAGTGGTCTTAAACCTAAGGGAAGGCAGTCTGGGTCAGAAATTTGTTGTCCGCTGTGATGAGCAGTTTCTTCTGGGAAGTACCAAGCATTTCTGATAATAGAATTGAGCAATTTCCTGATGAAGTGAGACTCAGCTTGCGCTGTTGACCGGCTGTCCCTGCATGAACTTAGTTACCTTTAACCAAATGTTCCTTTCTTGAACTTGAACTTAATCTACTAACGTTATCTACACACCTTTCCCCAAACAAAAAACAAACAAACAAAAAACAAAAAAGCCCTCTAGTAGGAAAGAAATCTTTGAACTGAACTTATTGGAAATTACCTCCTTGCAGCAGGTTTGAAACAAAACTTTGAATTTGCCTCACAAAGAATTTGTCTGAAACTGCTTTAGTATATGCTAATTATGCTCATATGCACATGTGGCTTCATACATAGTGGTTGGACACCCATAAGTGCTATGCACTGTGTTAGGTGACGTAAGTTCACAGATAAACTGGACATAGGGCTATCCTCTAGAGGCCCACAGTTTGACACCTTAACCTGAGATCCTTGGACCTTTGAAGTTCAGATTGCCCACTACCATTGGGTGCGGTGGCTCACACTTGTAATCCCAGGGACCTGCGGGGCTGAGGTGGGAGGATCGCTTGAGTCCAGGAGTCTGAGACCAGCCTGGGCAACATGGCAAAACCCCGTCTCTACAAAACTTACAAAACAATTAGCCAGGCCTGGTGGTGCGTGCCTGTGGTCCCAGTTACTTGAGAGGCTGAAGTGGGAGGACCACTTGAGTGAAGGAGGTAGAGGCTGCAGTGAGTCGAGAGGGCAACACTGCACCCCCGAAACCCTGTCTCGAACAAAACAGAGCAAAACAAAACAAAGTGCCCATCATGTTCCTGAAACTTCCTACGGATTTATCCAGAGTATGTGCGGATGTGCATTTTTTCCAAGGAGAGAAACCAAAGGTTCTATCAAATTAAGAGAAGAGTTTTTACCATTGTGGAAGACAGTACAGCAATTCCTCAAGCATCTAGAATCAGAAATACCATTTGACCCAGCGATCCCATCAGTGGGTATATATCCAAAGGAATAGAAATCATTCTACTATAAAGTCACACGCACCCTGTTTATTGCGGCACTATTTACAATAGCAAAATGGAACCAACTGAAATGCCCATCAATGAGACTAGATAAAGAAAATGTGGTACATATACACCATGGAATACTAGGCAGCCATAAAAAGGAATGAGATCATGTCCTTGGCAGGGACATCGATGAAGCTGGAAGCCATTATCCTCAGCAAACTAACGTAGGAACAGAAAACCAAACGCCGCATGTTCTCACTCATAAGTGGGAGTTGAACAATGAGAACACATGGACACAGGGAGGGGAACATCACACACCAGGGCCTGCTGCAGGGTGGGAGTGGAGTGTGAGGGGAGGGAACTTTAGAGGACAGGTGAGTAGCTGCACCAGACCACCATGGCACACGTGTACCTATATAACAAACCTGCACGTTCTGCACATGTATCCTGGAACTTACATTTTAAAAAAAGAGTTTTTAATCCCAAACAAGATTAACAGCAACTAGAAGAAAGAAAGAGATATAAATAGTGAATTGCAATGCGGCACGGCAGGTGTTATGATGGAGTAGAAAGGAGTGGAAAAGGCCTCCTGGAGGAAGAGACCCTCAAGTGTCTTTCCATTTCACCTGTAAACTCATTAAGGGCAGAAGCTTTGCCATAGCTTCAGTATGAGATCTTGGGCAATTCATGACAAAATGGGTCTGCTTTTGCACTCCCCCCCACTTCCTCTCACATCACTGCATTGTGCCATGCAGCATCAACTGGAAACCTCAGTGTCAGCAAACGACGACAGAGCGTTCATCTGCAAGGTGAGCCAGAAGAGCCAGTTCAATGACTTGTTTCACCATGGTCCATCTCAGAACCAAGACTTGGGCCTCTTATTTATCAGAAAAATTGTGGGGGCTTTGTGATGTGGCCTTTAAAAAATCTTGTCATTGCCAGGCATGGTGGCTCACGCCTGTAATCCCAGCACTTTGGGAGGCCGAGGTGGGTGAATCACCTAAGGTCAGGAGTTTGAGACCAGCCTGACCAACATGGTGAAACCCCATCTCTACGAAAAATACAAAAACTAGCCGGGTGTGGTGTCGAGTGCCTGTAATCCCAGCTACTCAGGAGGCTGAGGCAGGAGAATCGCTTGAACCCGGCAGGCAGAGGTAGCAGTGAGCCGAGATCACGCCATTGCTCTCCAACAACAGCAACAACGACAAAGACATTAGCATGAATTTAAATATTTTATAATGACAATCCATTAACTACTTAAAGCATAAGCTATTTTCCAGGAGAGGCAGGAAGTTCATTCTAGTTCCACGCCCAAGAAGAAAGGAGCTTGACTTTGGTGGGAATACTAGGAATTTCTACTGAAGCAGTCGCCCGCACAGTGAGAAGCGTTCCTAGAGAGGAAGTTATACCTGCTGTGGAATTTAAGAGAATCTTGTCACATTTGGATAAATTTTTTGAGACAGAAGTCTCACTCTGTCACCCAGGCTGGAGTGCAGTGGCGCGATCTCAGCTCATTGCAGCCTCCACCTCCTGGGTTCCAGCAATTCTTTTGTCTCAGCCTCCCAAGTAGCTGGGATTACAGGCGCCCGCCACCACGCCTGCCTAATTTTTGTATTTTTAATAGAAATGGGGCCTCGCCATGTTGGCCAGACTGGTCTCAAACTCCCTCGGCAGGCAGATCATTCTCAAAGTGCTAGAATTACAGGCATATGCCACTGCACCTGGCTAATTTTTGTGTGTGTTTTTTTTTTTTTTTTTAGTAGAGACAGTGGTTTCACCATGTCATCCAGGCTGGTCTCGAACTTCTGACCTCAGGTGATCCACCCACCTCAGTCTCCCAAAGTGCTGGGATTACAGGCATGAGCCACCGGGCCCAGCCGACATGATGCATTTTGGGACCATGAATTCCTTTGCTTGCCCGGATGGTTTTCTTTTTGTCACTATCTTTGCTTGCTTTCTAGTATTTAAAAAATTGTATTTTGCTCTAACTATGCAATGGCTTTAAGTCTTAGACAAATTTCCAGGGAGCAAAACACAGTCAACCATTTCACAATAATCAGAAGGGAGCTCTCATCAATAAATAAGCAAGACTGAATTTTACAAAAAATTCCAAAGTTTAAAACCAAAGCCCACTTTTTGCATGATCCTTTAAGAGAAAGACAAATCTGGAAGCAAAACACCTTATAAAATGACAATGCACTTTCCGAAGCCCAGGGAACCGTGGTGAAATCATGATGGCTAGTACAGGTTGTAAGTCTTGGGGAATTATTTATGAATTCTCTGGACCCATCAGTTCGCTGCATCCGTCTCCGTTATTTGAATATTGGAGGCTGCCTGATCAGAATCTTGGCAGGACTTCGCTCCTTCATCCCGGGTGGTCCCTGCTTACTCCTCAGGTCGTTACAGCCCTGGGGGAGGACTCAGCTTAGGAAGTGCTGGGTGAGACCACTGCCAAGAAGTGCTTGCTCACCCTACCTTCAACGGCAGGGGAATCTCCCTCTCCTTTTATGGGTGTAGCTGAAGAAAGGATTCATAAATGAAGTTCAATCCTTCTCATCAACCCCAGCCCACACCTCCAGCAATTGAACTTGAAAAAAAAAAACCTGGTTTGAAAAATTACCGCAAACTATATTGTCATCAAAAAAAAAAAAAAAAAAAACACTTCCTATATTTGAGATGAGAGAAGAGAGTGCTAGGCAGTTTCCTGGCTGAACACACCAGCCCAATACTTAAAGAGAGCAACTCCTGACTCCGATAGAGACTGGATGGGCCCACAAGGGTGACAGTCCAGGCGGACCGATCTTCCCATCCCACATCCTCCAGCGCGATGCCAAAAAGAGGCTGACGGCAACTGGGCCTTCTGCAGAGAAAGACCTCTCTTCACTGTCCCGGCAGGTCCCAAGGGCCAGGAAGATGGATCCATACCTGCTCATGTGGGGACTGCTCACGTTCATCATGGTGCCTGGCTGCCAGGCAGGTAAGGGCCTGTGGGTGCCTCCGGAATTCTAGGGAAGCTGATGGGCCTCCCTCTCCCCAGCCACAGAGCCAGAGGGAGTCCCCAGGTAGATGGTTCCAAGAAGGGAGTTGAATCTTGGGTTCCACCTCTTGCCCGTGACCCACGGGGACCCCAGTTTATGCCTCAGTATTCCTTCGTCCGTCAAGAGAGCCTGAAATAGCATTAGGTTCTCCTGTCCTTCTCAGTCCTTGATGATTAATTCTGGGAAGAATGGTGTGGCATGATATTTGGGATACTTGGATGTTAACAGGGCCCTGATGAGCAGGTTCCTCAAGAAATTATCTTTTATTCTTCAGTGAATTTCCTTTCTTCTCTGCACTCCCACCCCCCAGCTAAGAAGCTATCAGGAAGCTCTTTAAATTCAGGTTAATTTGCTGGAGACATCAGTACTCATATATCAAACACTGGGATAATTTAAGATCTCAAAAAAGTTTAGCTTCAAGGTTGTATTCATTGCTTTTACTGCCTCAGGAAATAATACCTAGGAATTTCCTTACAAGTGCAACTTTACAGAAATTTTTAAAAATATGCATACTCTCTTTTAGAACGTTACTACTTCTCATAACACTATATATATACATGATATGTATGTGTATATGTGTTTATATATGCAAATTTTAAATTTCATTCCTTCTTTCAAATGGATTTTCTCAAATTTTTTTTTTGACACTGTCTCTGTCAGCCAGACTGGAGTGCAGTGGCGCGATATTGGCTTACTGCAACCTTCGTCTCCCAGGCTTAGCGATCCTCCCACCTCAGCCTCCTGAGTAGCTGGGACTATAGGCACAAGCTACCACACCTGGTTAATGTATTTTTTTGTAGAGATGGGATTTTGCCATGTTGCCCAAGCTGGTCTTGAACTCCTGGGCTCAAGAGATCCACTCACCTTGGCCTCCCATAGTGCTGGTATTACAGGCATGAACCACCGTGCCTGGCCAAGACTTTTTTTTAAAAGAAATAAAAAAACCACCAACTTCTACCTCAAACCACTCTTCCTAATTGAGTGTGAATTTTCTAATAATGTCTTCCCTTTGCTTACTCAGGAAGACAGATAAGAAAGTTTATAGTTTTTTTTGAAAGTCTACAATGACAACAAGTAGAATGCCAACTGGCTGCAGAAATAATTTATTAAGAAATGAAGCATGATGATGCATTTAAGGAGTCCGCTTGCTTGTTTAGGGGAAGTGGCCAAGTCATGCTGGGCTGTGTGCTGGCCCAGATGTAGGAATGTCTTTAAAGAGGAAATTTTATTTACTTATTATATATTTTTCACTTTATTTTTATTTTTTGAGACGGAATCTCGCTCTGTCGCCCAGGCTGGAGTGCAGTGGCATGATCTCAGCTCACTGCAACCTCTGCCTCATGGGCTCAAGCAATTCTCCTGCCTCAGCCTCCTGAATAGCTGGGATTATAGGTGTGTGCAAACATGACCAGCTAACTTTTGTATTTTTAGTAGAGATGGGGTTTCACCATGTTGGTCAGGCTGGTCTCAAATTCCTGACCTTGTGGTCCACCGGCCACAGCCTCCCAAAGTGCTGGGATTACAGGTGTGAGCCACCATGCCTGGCCTATATTTTTTATTTTAATAGGTTTTTGGAGGACAGGTGGTGTTTGGTTACATGAATACTTTTTTTAGTGGTGATTTGTGAGATTTTGGTGCACTCACCACCGAAGCACGTATGCTGTACCCAATGCATAGTCTCTTATCCCTCACCCACCTCCCACCCTTTCCCCTGAGTCCTCAGAGTCCATTGTGTCGTTCTTATAACAAGGGTATTCTTTTAGGAAGGTTTTCAATGTGATTTCTATGTCCACAGGGTCTTTGCTAACTCAGTCCAAGCCAAGAACAGCAAAATCTTGACAATTAATCATGCTCTGCCTCTGGAAGACACATTTCAAGTAAACTCGTGTTATTTCTAGCCATTGGTGACTTATCCAAGGGTCTGAGTGGTCTTGGTGGGAGCAGAGGAAGTAGAGTCCCATAAGGACTCTTTCACACCATTCTCAACATCTATCCATACACCATCTGCCTCTCAACACTATAGGGAATACAAAAATGAGCAAGACATCGTCCTGACACTTAAGCAATTTATAACCAGGTGAGGAGGAGAAAAGCATAGATATAAATACAGTAATACCAGTCAGAGTGTGGTAAGATCTACGGAGCATGGGGCTGTCAGAGAAGGCTTCATGAGGGTGACATGCAAAGGGAGTCCCAAGGGACCAGTAAATTTCCATCAGTGAGATTCCAGGGAGAGAGGCCCCTATAAGCCAAAACACAGGAGCGCCTTAGGGAGCAGCAGGTGGTCCACTGTGCTCCTACCCTGGACAGGGAGGGTGGGGATATGGGAAATTCAAACTGGAAAGTTAGGACGAGGTAAAATGAATCATCTAAGGCATTAGGCATTTTTAGTCTCTATATTACTGGGCCCTGGGATGTGGTCAGAAAGAGAATTCTCCTAGTTATAACTTCTTAACTTCACTTAGCAGGCGATAAAGAACTACAAGAAAATTTAAAACTACCATTTAGAAAGTAAATTCTATGTGCCAGATGTGTGTCTTATTGTAATCTTCCTAGCCACTTTGCAGTATGGATGTCATGAACCCGTAGATGAAGAAGAACCCAAAACTCAGACTCGCACAGGCAGTGACAGTGCCAGGGTTTGAACCTGGTCTCCCTGGATTGTTCTGTTTCTGTTTATTGCAAACAGGGTCAGAGCTTTATGGAGATGAGGTTGGCATAGAGTGGAGGGAGATCAGGTGCACACAGACAGGTCATGAGGCTCTTAAAATTGTCCAATCACGAGGCAAACGAGGACCCAGTGGCCAAAGACAATGACATGGGTCGAGTTTCTGGAATCAACAGGAATTCTCTGGCATCACTCCAGGGTAAGAAACCATTTCATCCCAGACTTTTTTTCTCCAAGAGGAACCCAGTCTTGAAACAAATCAGACTTTTTATTCCTCAGGGTGAGAGTTCTCTAATGAAATCAGACTGTCAACAGATGCAATTTCTAGCTGATTCATAAGGGCAGATTTTCATTCTGAAAATTTCCAAAGCCACCATTTAACATGGCAAGGGTTTATGAGGACGTATTAGTCAACTTGAGTGTTTTTAGTCTCTATATTACTGGGCCCTGGGATGTGGTCAGAAAGAAAATTCTCCTGGTATTACCAATATGGCACGTTATTGAAGGCACCTTTCTCAGAACTGTGGAAATTCTGAGAGCTTATGTGTCCCTTGATCATCTTTCTTTCATTCTAGGAATTCTGTGATCAAATCTTTATCCTCTAGACTCAAAAATAATTCTTTAAAAAAACAGTGCGGAAACCCATTGAGATCATGTGTTTGTGTAATTATCCCTTCTTGTAAAGACAACTGCCCACAATGGAATTTCCCATCTTCGCCTTTGTCAGTCAAACACAAAATGTTTAACCCTTCACATTTAATCTTTCAACTTCTTGAGATCCCAAAGTATTATTGCTACTGTTACTTCTTCATTCCTCTTCAAGACATGCCTTGAGGCTGGAAGGGCTTTTCCTAAACATTGGGAGCGCTTCATGAGACAGTTGCTACTTTCCTTAAAACAGCATGCCTTAAACAGACAGTTTGATAAATCACCTGGGCGTATGCTTCATTTTAGATGGGAGAATTGAAAAAGAAAAAAATTGACTTCGCAATTCTGCACCAAAAGAATGAGTTTCACGAATGCGTCAGTTAGAGGTGCTAATATAGAATGGTTGGTGGGCTCTATAACTCCTCCATCCCACTCGCCTGATAGGGAAGTATTCCTAGACTGGTTTTTGCCTAAAGGCTTGGGTATTCTGAATACTTCTTTGTGATTTTTTTTTTTTTTTTCTTTTTGAGACGGGGTCTCACTCTGTCGCCCAGGCTGGAGTGCAGTGGCGAGATATTGGCTTGCTGCAACCTCTGCCTCCCGGGTTCAAGCGATCCTCCTGCCTCAGCCTCCCCAAGTAGCTGGGATTACAAGCACGTGCCACCACGCCTGGCTCATTTTTGTATTTTTAGTAGAGACGGGGTTTGACCAAGTTGGCCAGGCTGGTCTCGAACTCCTGACCTCAGATGATCTGCCCGCCTCGGCCTCCCAAAGTGCTGGGATTACAGGCATGAGCCACCACGCCCAGTACTCTTTGTGGTTTTTTTTTTTTTGTTGGAGTCATTCCTCTGCTAGCTATGGGCACCATCAAGGCAGGCAGTCCCTCAATGTGGTGGCTGTTCCGGCTCCTTCCCCGCCCCTCTTCTTGCCCAAGGATGAGCAGAAACTTTACAGATAAGGAGAGAATTCCCTCAGGAAATGAGGCATGTTGCCTGAGGTCACAGGGAATAGAATTAGCAGGAAGATAAACCTTGCAGGAATCAGAAAGTGGGCCAAAGCACTGAGGAGAGGACACCGGGAGGGCGTGAGTTTTTGACAGATTTCTCTCTGTAAAATGAGGAGGTCACCCAGGGATCTTGAAACTCCCTTCCAGTTCCTTCACTCTATGTCAAGAATTCCAGAAAGGAAATAAAAGAAGCTCTGCTTAAAAGGCATTTTCAAGCTGGGGAACTTTGGGATGAAAAAGTTTCCCAAATGAAGACATACTGGCAGGGTCAGGGTTGAGCGACTTTAGTGTGTCAATGCACCAAAGCCTGATGTCTCATTGTGGGTCATTTCCAGCTCTGAAGAAGTACTGCCCGGCAGCCAGCATGACCCATTGCTTTTGTAATTGCTGCAGCTGCAAGTGTCAAGGCAAAAACTCCACTCACTCAATTTTCAAAATCTATCCAATACCTTTTATGACCCCTTTCAATACTATAGGAAATGTAAAAATGAGCAAGACATAGTCCTGATCCTTAAGAGAGTCGTAAGCTGGTGAGGAGAAAGGCATGTATATAATCATAGTAACACGAGTCATATGTGGTAAGATCTACTGAGCGTGGGGCTATCAGAGAAGGCTTC